CAGATGATGGTGCTGTTTTGGGAGGCTTTAGAAGGTGTCGCTATTCTGGAGGAAGCACATCACTGGGGGTGGGTTTACAGAGTTCTTAAGCCTTGCTGGATCTCCAGTTGTTCTCTTGCTTCCTGTGCCTGTGTGATGAGGTGAGAGCTTCACTTCTGCTGCTCCTGGTCCAGCCACCTCCAGCCACCATGCCTCCCTGCCATGACGGACTGTAATTCCCCTGGAACCATAAGCTCAAATAACCTCTTCCTTCTATAAACTGCTTGGGTCTGTGTTTCTATCACAGCAACAGAAAAGTGACTAATACAGAGGCTAAGGCAGAAAATGGAAAGTTCAAGGCCAGCCTTGGTCACATACACTTTGTTATAAACACAGTGAAAGAGAAGGATGCTAGGAAGATAGAAGTAGCTTTAAAACAACAACAACAACAAAAACTGGGCTGTGGTCCTGGTCATTTTCAAAAGTAAATTAATTTAAATTCAACTGTTTACTTGAGGAAAACCACTGTGAGTGTGGGCCTGAGAGAGAAACCGCAAAAAAGGAAATGAAGTTCTGCAGTTGAAGAAGACTATTTTCATTATTTTTAAGAACATCTTTTATTTGTTCTTTGATAGTTTCATTTTGCATACAGTATATCTTGATCTTTGTTATCTTTGCATATTCACCCTCAACTCCCTCTTTCCATCACCTCCCCCCAATATTCTGTCACCACATTCCCCTCCCACTTTCATGTCTTCCCTTTTTCCTGTTTTTCCCCCCTTTTTAACATACTGAGTCCAATTAGTGTTGCCTGCTGGAATGTTGACTGACATGTTGGCTTGATCTTGTGCAGATCTAGCTGCAGTGAGTTCATGAGTATAATGGCCATGTCCTGTCCAAAAGACAGCATTTCACAGCAGCATTCTCCATCCTAGGGCTTTTACATCTCTCCACACCCTCTTCTGCTGTGTCCCCTGAGCCTTGGGAGGGGGTTGACATAGATGTCCCATTTAGGGCTGAGCACTCAACATTCACTGATCATCAGCACTCTGATCAGTTATGAGTTCTTGCATTAACTGCTACCCACCGCAGAAAGAAGTTTCTCTGGCCAAGTCTGAGAGCTGCACTAATCTAGGAGCATAAACATAAATATTTAGAAGGCAGTTTGACAACACATCCATTTGGCAAAACAACAGTAGTAGGTTCCCTTCTAGGTCCTAGGACCTCCTGAACCATGGGCTTTTGACCAGGTTTACCGATTCAGGCATGGATTCCTTCTTGTGAAGAAAATAAGGTAAAATCCTGCATTGCAAGAGAACCATTTCTCATACTTTGAATAGCTGGGAGGAGAGGAATTTCTACATTATATGCTTTTTCATACCTACATATCATAAATTAAAACTTGCCAATAACCACTTCTCCATAATGCACGGACTAAATCAAACCCGTGATTCAGAGAGGACAGACTTACATGCCTGCAGGAAAGTCCCATGCTAATGATGTACAGGAGTCAATTGACTTGCAAATGTGGATAGCCAGTGAACTGCAAACATTTGGGGAAGACAACATAGAAGGATTAAAGTAAATAAGAAAAACTGGGCCTATAAGAAGTAGATAATAATTCAGGAAAAATAATTCTTCAAAAAGAATGTGAATTTGCATTCACAAAATAAAAGAGAATTAATGAAACAGATGGAAAATTTGAAAATAAGGAATAATAAAGAGCTAGTCAAGAAGACAAAGAATAGAGAGTGGGGGGGAAAGGGGGAAAACGCATCAAAAGAAGGCATATCATTAATGCTCTCCAAGTTAAGAAAGATACTAATTCTGAATGCAAAATATCATGTTACTACTTTCTCTAATGAAAGAGCTTTGGAAATTAAATGTAGCAGAAATGAAAAACTCCACATATAGACTGAAAAATATGAAGTAGAAATCTCAAAAGACAAGAAAACCAGAAAAAAATAAGAAAATGTAGAATCAGTTAAAGAGATAAAAGAAAAATATCTAAATATAAAGAAAAAGAAAACCTAAGTATAAAAGAAGTTCCAGAAAAAGAGAACAAAGAAAATTAGGGGAGAAATCAATGAAATAATTCGAGTGTATTTCCTGGGACTGAAAGCTTGAATATTCAGGTTGAAAGAGTTAATATTTGTTTGCTCTTTCCACAGCAAAAGATGAAAATGAGGATATAATTATGAAATTTCAAAGTAATGGTAACAAGAAAATCCTATGAGCTTTTCAAGTGAAAAGGAGAAGAGATAAAGAAACAAAAGTAAAGTAGCTTTGGATTTAGCAATATCTTAAGATAGATGACAAAAATGCAGTGTTGTCCAATGGCAGGAAATTATTCCCAACCTAGAATTCTATGATCAGCCAAAGTCTTAATCAAATATGAGGGAAGGACAGAGAGAAACTCCAAATCTGAGCCCCCAAAGATACCAAGACAGTAGAGTTTTAAGCTCAATTTAGGTTCAGCAATTTCAGTACATTTCTAGAGCTTTATTGCTGCCTCTGTAATCAAGACTTCCTTGTTTTCGGGCATCAGTGTGGATAGTTCAGGCAGATCTGGAGAAACCCTTCATTTCTTGTTTTTAGAATTTTCCTGTTAGGCTGGCCAGAACCAGAGGAGGATCTTCCAAGTCTCTTTGTTAATGAAGATCTGACTACAAGAGGAGCTAGCAGACTGTTTACAGTGCTGTCATCACTTCTCATTCCCACCAGCAATTATGAGGGTTCTGATTCTCCATACTTTTGCCCGTGCTTCTTGTTTTCTGTCTTTTGATTATAGTAATCTCAGTCCATTTGAAATAGTGTCTCATCATGGTTGTATTTGTATTTCCTAAGAATTAATGACTTGACCGTATCTTCATGTTTATTGACCATTTCTATTGTGTTTTCTAGAGAAATTTCTTTCTTCCATTCTTCCTTTCCCTCTCTTTTTCTTCCTCCCTCTCTCCCTCTCTTCAGGAACTGGGTCTCACTATGTAGCCCTGGCTGGCCTGAACTCTCACAGAGACCCAACTGCCTTTGCCTCCCAAGCTCTAGTCTTAAAGGTGTGCAATACTATACCCACCTCTCATCTTCATTTAAAAAAATTTGGGGGCTCTCTTTTTGAGACAGGGTCTCCCTGTAGCCCCAGCTGGCCTGGAACTCACTATGTAAGCCAGGCTGGCCTTGAACTCAGATACCTGTCTGCCTCTGCCTTCTGAATGCTGGGACTAAAGGCGTATGCCACCACACACGGCCTTAAATTTTTTTAATTACATTTTTATTTCATTTTGTGGGGGGGGGCGTACACATGGTGCCCTGTGTATTTGGAGGTCAGAGAGCAACTTGCAGGAGTTGGTCCTTCTTCTACCACGCGGGTCCCAGGAATTGAATTCAGGTGGTCAGGCTTGGTAGCTGACCTGCTGAGCCATTTCTGTGGCCTTCATCTTTTTTTTTTTTAATTTATAATTTTAATTTTATGTGATTTGCTTGCATGTAAATGCACCATATGTGTGCAGTGCCCCCAGAGGCCAGAATAGGGCACTAGATCCTCTGGAACTGACATTGTGGATGGTTGTTAACCACCATGTGGGTGCTGGGAACTGAACCCGGGTCCTTTGCAAGAGCAGCTTGTGCTCTTAACCACAGAGTTCTCTCTCTAGCCCACTCTCATCTTCTTATTTGGAAGATAGCTTTATTGTATATATGTTTCTTCTTTTTGAAAATTTCAGCTCTTGGAATATGACATACTACTGCTTTCTGGCTTCCACTCTTTCTGTTTAGAAATTTTTATTCTTTTTTTTTGTTTTAGAGAGCGTCTTGATATGTAGTCCTGTCTAACTCCCTTTCCCTCTCCTCCTTTCCCCCCTTTCCCCCCACACCCCCACTGCTCTCCCTTCCCCTTAAATTATATCACTTTTATTCTTCACATTCTTCAAATGACAGAATTTTAGGCCAAGATGATTCAGTACCTGTGATCACCATAACTAATTGCTTGCATATGCTTGGCATTGCCACATTTTAGGTTATGCCCTATACTGAGGTCCTGTTACATGTATGTGGTCCTGTTACAATGCATGTGATTGCAGTTTTCCTTAATACATCAGATATAGCTCTAATCTAATATTCCTCAATTCTTCCATTTGTCTCTTGGCTTTCTTTTCTCAGGAGCCTCAGGTGGTAGGCAGGAGGGGGACTCACCCTCTGTCTCTCTCCCGTACCAGATGGTGAGCTACTTCAGGGCATGCATCAGCTTTTTTCATCCTTATGCCTTTATATCAGCAGTATCAATACCATCACAGAATCCTAGGGACTCTGAAAACATCTGAAATTACTTATGTCAAGTATATATTTGAAAAATCCTTATCGCCTTTCTAATCTTAATGCTAAAAACAACAAAAACCCTCATGTTCTGAACCCATGTTATTTTCTTGACTCTGTTTGGTAAATAGTAATGGTAGGTTATTTTTGCCTGAACCTGCCCTAAAACCTGCTTATCTTGGCCCAGCCCTGTTTAGTGTGCACGGGAAAATCAAGTTGCTACAGATTATACTAAATCTAATTAGTGGTATTGGTAAAGGTCATTCCTGGACAGGATAGAGCCTCAGTAAAAGAGCACCCAGTCTGGGGAGAAATCCATTGTCCTTTTTAGACTACCCTTGGGACATACTAGGTCCATGAGGTTGGAACAAAGTCCATTTAGGCTTCCAATTACTATATTAGGAATGGCAAAGAATTAATAGTGATAAATTAACAGAGAGTTTGAACAATTCAAAACTTTTGATTCTTTCCCTGCATTTCATACTTTATTTAATCTGCTCAGTGTGAAGAGGCAAAATTTATAGACTAAGAAGGAACTCTGAGCTTGTCTTCAGGTGTTTGGTTTGGAGGAGGCAGGTAGGGAGCTGTGAACTGGCTTCCCATTCCACAGTTAGGCTTTCAGTGGCAAAAGGAAGCACTCAAACTGAGTGGATAGTGATGGCTATAAAGGAAGCCACCTAAGTGACACTTGGCTTTTCTTTTCTGTATAGAATGTGAAGACTGTGTCTGAGACCCCAGCAGTGCCACCAGTTTCAGAAGATGAAGATGATGACGATGATGCTACCCCACCTCCAGTGATTGCTCCACGCCCAGAGCACACAAAATCTGTGAGTTTCTGGGATCTGGAGTCATTACCGTGAGGGGTGGGGGTAGTGGGGTGAGGGTGGGGCTGGGGGGAGCGGAAGGGTGGGGGCAGGGGAGGGAAGTGATAGTACTAAGGTTAAAAGTTTAATACTTGATAGGGGTCCATGGACTTTATAGCTGGTGCAGCCTCTGAACCACTTTTTTCCCTCTTATTTTGTGACAAGGTCTCACAACGTAGCTCAGGCTGGCCTTGATTCATGATCATTCTCTTGCCTCTCAGCCTCTGGAGTGCTGGGACGCACCACTATCCCAGCTGGACCGCCTTTTTAAAAAATACATTCTGTATGATTAAAGAGAAAGTAGTGTATTTGTCATTACATATAGTCCCAAAGATTCCTGGTTAATTGTTGTCTATACCAAGCTAGCCTTGGTTTACTTAGCTTGCTCTTCTAGATAGGCTAGGAAGCTGTATGGAATTAGTGTAACTCACTTTAGGGCTAATGTTATTTTAGTCTCTTGAGAAGCAGCAGATTATCTTGCTGAAGATTTTTATCTTTCATGTTAAATGTGCAGTGTTCAGCCTCTCACAGCATCGTTGATGATACTGAAAGACCCAAGAGAGTTTATAATACATTAGTGCTATTAATATGCTGGACATCAGGAGTACATTTTGCTGCCGGATATTGGCAGTGATTTTTAACTTCCTTTGAGGTTCTTGCATTTCAGAATAGCCACAGTCCATCCTCCTGCACATTGAACAATCTAGTTCATATTGACTTTTACTTGATTTAGCATCACTGAACAGTGATCTCCCATCTGATGATACTCTGAAGCACTCTTCTAGCGTTTCTTTGTTTGGGCTTTTTATTATGAGGATCGGTCCATAATGAAAGAACCAAGGTCTGTTCCTTGGATGGCTAATGGGAGATGCTATGAAGGAAATTCAGTTAGATGACTGACCCCTTAGCATAAGAACTTACAGAGTCTGTTGAATCTCTTTTTAGGTCGTAAAGTTACCTTGAGGAAAAAAGGCCTTTAAAATTGAAGAGTTGTCAAAATATCTCCCATTGATGTGACCTGGTTGCAGGCATATTCATTTAAAACAGTTTGCCCTCTAAACCTTGAACTCCTCTAAAGTAGAGGAAATCTATCAATCTGTCTTATCTATCATCTGTCTGTCCATCTATCATCTGTCTGTCTATCATCTATCTATCTATCTATCTATCTATCTATCTATCTATCTATCTATCTATCTATCTATCATCTATCATCTGTCATCATCTATCTTCAGTACTTAAAATAATTGTTGGCACAGGGATCAGAGGGCAGTAAATATTGAATAGAGGAATAGATTGATAAATTTCCTTCTTAGAATTTCTCTAAAAAGATACTGTTAAATCCTCATTTATAAAAAGAAACAGCTGAGATTTGGAGAGGTAAATTGGTCTATCTACAAATACTTATTAAGGAAAAGCCAGGATTTGAAAGCAGGTAATTAAACTCAAGATTGTGTTCCACCAGAGTACACACATCACATTTTCTGTGTATAGACCTGCACTGGGAGCCGGTGAAGGAGAATGTTAGGGAAGGAAAAGGCTGGGTTTCTTTTCTCAAGGAGCATATGAGGAGAAGCAAGGAAAGAGAATAAGGTATTACAATAAAGTTTACCATTGTTCTACAGCTACAAGAATAGAAAAATTGAGAAATCATTATGTTAGGAAGCCAATCCAGCTGAAGATTCTGATCCATTTATTAATTGATTCTCTGTGACATTTATCTGAAGGCTTGCTTTTTGCTAGGTAAGTGGTTAGATGGAGGAACTCACAGATGAGTAATGTATTTTCCCTGTCTCCATAGACTCTATAGGCCATCCAAAAGATAACTGTCAGTTTTTTATGATAAAAATTGGATAAATAGTGCCAGGCATGGTGGTGCAAACCTTTAATCCCAGCACTCAGGAGGCAGAGATAGGTGAATCTCTGTGAGAGTGAAGCCAGCCTGGTCTACGTAAGTAAGTTCCAGGCCAGCTGGGGCTACAGGGAGACCCTGTCACAAACAAACAAACAATAACAAAAACAAAAATCCCCAAAACTAAACAAAAAAACCTTGATACTTACATACTTACTTGATGCATACTTAAAGCATCTTCTTGGGAAAGGAAGTGTAGCCTAGGAATACTTCTGAGCCTTAGCAGTATATGGTTGCTTCCATCTTACATACATTGATCTCTTTCTCCCTTGCAGCAGTGACTCTCTCACAGAATGAGAATATAGGAGCAGCCTTTAGAACTAGGGCTAGAGCTAGGCTTATAGATTCTCAGTAAAAATTTATTAAATAAGTGTATAGGAAATATAGTCTTTTAAAACCTAGAATTTGAGTGCTTAACATCTCCTACACATGACTCTTGATCATTCACACACATTAGTTTATTATTAAGGTAGGTATTATCACCATTTCATAGACAGAGACTGAAGCACAGAGGTAAGCAGCCTGTCCAAAGTATGCAGAAGGTAAGAACGAACACTGGGACTTGAAGCCTAGACACCAGGTTCCCACGTCTGTGTGTGCCCTACTGCTTCTCGAAGAACAAGAGTAGTTCCTTCTTGGTAAGGGCTCAGAAGCTAAAGAGGGAATGACTATGTAGAAAATAATGTTAAGTGTGAATAACAGTTTGAATTGCCTAGCTCTTTTAGAGTATCTCGGTCCTAAGACTGTTACTAACCAGCGAGAGCAAGGAAGGTCATATTATGGAGAATAAATGGACTTGGGCTCAGAGGAGGAGGAAGAATGCAGATTTTTGTTGTTGTTGTTGTTTTTGAGACAGGGTCTCCCTGTAGCCCCAGCTGGCCTGTAGCTCACTATGTAGACCAGGCTGGCCTTGAACTCACAGAGATCTACGTGCCTCTGCCTCCCAAGTGCTGGGACTAAAGGCATGCACCACCATGCCTGGCTCGAAGAGTGCAGATTTGTATGAGAAAGGATGAATTTTGGTAGATATTTTTTTTCCTGTTGATGTTCTAATGTCACATCTAGAAGAGGTTCCACTGTGCTAACAAAGGCTAACTTTGGTAAAATTTTGCACCTATAATGCAGGTATATACACGATCTGTGATCGAACCACTTCCTGTTACTCCAACTCGTGATGTGGCTACATCTCCCATTTCACCTACTGAGAATAACACCACTCCGCCAGATGCTTTGACTCGGAATACTGAGAAGCAGAAGAAGAAGCCTAAAATGTCTGATGAGGAGATCTTGGAGAAATTACGTAAGCACTTCATACTTTTCTGAACCTTCCTTTGGTCTATGATTGATCAGTTGTGGAAGTGGAATTCTGCTGCTGTGAAGATCTAGGTCCTAGGTTTAGACCATGTGGCTGGCTGGCCGTGTGTGGTACCTTAGTTATGAACTGTAGTGTTCATCACCTTAAACCTTTGTCTCTTGTTTCACCAGCTTTGGTTGGACACCACCTTAGGATGAGAATATGATGGGAGAAGATGTGAATAGCTCACTCTGAGGGTTATAAAGATGACACATGTATTTTATTTAGTGAATATTCTATGAAGAAAGATTGAGGTCTTGATTATACTTGGTGGAAAAGAGTGCTTTGATTGATGCTTACTGTTGGCCTAGGAGAAAACAGCTCTGCCGTCATAGGAAAAGGGAAGGAGACACCAACAGTTTAATAACCTGTACATACTGAATGGCAAGCAAGATATTTCTTGAGTTTTAAAATTTTATTATCATATCACTGTGAAAATGGGCATTATGATCCTCATTGATGTAGTTAGGTTTTTAAGACCCAGGGATGCTAAATGCCTTGCCCCAGGTCATAAAAATAGAAAGTGACAAGTTTGAGACTGAATCACAAACTATATTCTTACAGAGTATGTTGCCTCTTGCAACCAGATAGAAATTTCCATTTATTTTTTAAGCAGCTAGAAGTGGGGCTGTAATAGGGTAGCCTGTTCAGTAAACCGCAGAAGGAATTACAGTGCAACGAAGGATTAGGTTGTTCTTTTTGGCATGGAAAAAAATCATTTGAAAGAGGATTTGAAGTGACTGATTTGACCAAGCTTATACACTGACATTGCTTGCTTGCTTTTTCTTAAAAGATTTATTTTTGTTTATGTGTATGAGTGTTTTGTCTGCCTGAATGTAAGTGTGCCACGTTCATGTAGTGCTCACAGAGGTCAAAAGAGGGGATCAGGTTCCCTGGAACTGGAGTTAAGGATTGGTGTTAGCTGCCATGTCAGTTCCTCTGGAACAGCAGTAAGTGCTCTTAACATTGAGCCATCTCTCTAACCTCTACTGGCATTGCTTGAAAAACTGAGGTTTCTGGTTCTTAGTTTAACAACTCTCAACTTCCTAATACTTCTTGTTTGGCTTTAAAAACGAAACAAAAACAGAAAAAACATTCATTGTCCTAAAAATTGCCCTTGTCTGGGGCCCTCATAAGATGATGAAGTAAAACCACTCAACCCGCCATCTATTTAATCATATATAATCTTATTCCCAAAACCATTTTTTTCCCCTAAATAGCAATACATAGGATTATAGAAAGGAGCCTGGCTTGGGAGTTAGGACACTTGAGTTGAAGCCTCAGTTCTGCCATTAACTTGTGTCCTAGGTAACTTCCTGCTGTTCTTTGAGCCTCCTTTTTTCTCATCTTTTAAATAGTGATATTACTACTTGACTTGTTTTAAGTCAAAGAAGATAATTATGTGTCCAAGAAGTACCAAATCCTAGTAATTGGTATCAGTGGAAAAGCTTATTGGACTTAGAGACTGAAAACCAAACTCCTAATCATAGCTTTAGCACCAATTTGCTATATGACTTTGGGAAAGTATCTCGCCTTCTGTGAGCCTCAGTTCCCTGTCTCTGGAATGCAACTATGAAACCCAGTAAACATTGTCTTTGTGCTTAAACTTTTCCCTGATGCAAAACTCTCTTGGCTTTCTTTACCTGGCTGACTGGTACTTATAAAAAGCAGTCCACCACTGTGAAGCCTTTTCAGACTGTTACTCTTTGTGTATCCCTCATCCCTTTAGCGTTCATTACAGCAATTACTGAATTTTTTAATGGCACTTTCACTTGTCTTTTCCATGAGATTGCGCTTCTTGAGAGAACCGAGTTTCTTTTTTTTAGATTTTTTTATTGAATTTTGTGTTATTTCATTCAGAATTTCTTAATCATCTTTATAGCCCCTTCCACATACCCCCTCCCCCACTGGAATTCATATATTCTGTCATTTGTGTTAAGGCCTATCATGTCAAGTTAGTGTCCCCAGATGTTCCTCAGTACACGTTCATCCACTGGGATCTAGTCAGCCCATTGGGATATAGTCAGCCTATCAAGAGTTTCTCCCTTTAAGAAGATCAGCTCTTCTTCACCCAGCACTAATCAGCTGCCAATAATTCTTTGACTAAGATTGGAGCCTGCTGCCCATTTCCATAGTTCTGTCCTGAGTTTTTGTCTGTTTGAGTTTACATGGGGAGAGCTGACTTTCTTTCTTTCTTTCTTTCTTTCTTTCTTTCTTTCTTTCTTTCTTTCTTTCTTTCTTTCTCTTTCTTTCTTTCTTTCTCTCTTTCTTCTTTCTTTCTTTCTCTTTCTTTCTTTCTTTCTCTCTTTCTTTCTTCTCTCTTTCTTTCTCTCTTCTCTCTTTCTTTCTCTCGTTCTCTTTCTTTTGTTCTTTTTCTTTCTCTTTCTTTCTCTCTCTTCTTTTTCTTTCTTTCTCTCTCTCTTTCTTTCTCTCGTTCTCTCCTTCTCTCTCTTTCTTTTTCTTTCTCTCTCCTTCCTTTCTTCCTTCCCTCCCTCCCTTTCTTTTCTTTCCTCTCCTCTCCTCCCCTCCCCTCCCCTCCCCTCCCCTTCTTTTCTTTTCCTTTCCTTTCCTTTCCTTTCCTTCCCTTCCCTTCCCTTCCCTTCCCTTCCCTTCCCTTCCCTTCATTTCCTCCTTTTCTCTCCTCTTCCTC